TTAGAAACTCAGAAGCTGATCAAATATCGGGTTAAATATCGGTGGGGTGGCCGATGTCCGATATTCAGTTTTAAGGCCGATACCGATAGGTTATATCGTGCATCCCTAATATAATCTTCTTCCTGACTCGGTAAGGATAAAGCAACAGCAGCAAAAAAAAAAAAAAAGTCACCCTTTTTTTATAAACTTGATAACACAGCGTTTTGTTTTCAGACTGGTCATGTGGTCTAATGAAACCAAAAATCTTTTTTTGACATAATGACCTTTATTATATATGGAGAAGGGGGAGAGAGGAATGTGATGGTGAGGAAACGCAGAGATATGTGGAATTGAATTGAATTGAATTTAAATTGGCTTTTTTTTTTTTTTTTGTGACAGGACCTGTTAGTGCCAGCATAGATCAAATTGCAGTTTAGGCTCCGATAAAATCGATCTGTGATCAAAACCTTATATAAAGTGAAAATAAAGCTCTGAGTGAAAACATGATACATTCTAGCTTCAGTTCCCTCTTATGTGTGAATGCAAGCCTGATGAAACACCTTGCCTTTGCTCTAACAACATAAAATGGATCTAATTTATTTATTCATGTAAACACTCATACATCATCTGTTCATTGACATTTTACATATTATTTTATGTGATGTTATTTTTCTGTCTACAGAGACCAGAGGAGCGGCCGTCCTTCTCTCAGCTTTGTCTGATGCTCTCTGACGTTTTGGAGGACGACATTCTTCCCTCCACCTGATAATGCAGACTCCTCCTTGCTGAAGCAAAGTGACCGCTCCACGTGTTCGTCAGATAAAAGCCATTTCCGAAGGCACCGGTGATGGATTTAAACCACAAAAAGGAAGGCGAGTGTTCTGCAAAGTATTGCTGCTTAAGACATCAGAAACTGTCTGCTGACCACATCTGCTTTTCAGCTGCATAAACTGACAGCCTTCAGTAAAAACTCACAGGCTCTCTCAGAGGAGACATTGACTGTAAAACCTGAATCATTTCAGCTTTCATTTTTGATTTTTTTTTTTCTTTTTTTTAATGAAGTTCTCCTTATCTTGCCTGCCCAGTAAAGATGTGGAGCTTTGGTGAATTTTACCTGCAGAACGGCAGCTTTTCATTTAAATCCAACACTTCCTTAACTAAGTTTGGGGTAAAAGGAAATGTGAAAATAATTCTGCCATTTAGAGGGAGCTCAGGTTAGAGCTTCAAATAAATTAAATTCCCATCATCTTAAATGTTATTGAATACAATAAAAATGTTCACTCAATGATATTCTGTGATCATTTTGATATTGAGCTTGACAACTCAAAATATTTGAGTCAACATCAAACTTAAGTATTTGAATGTAGTGGAGACTTGTGCAGATCAGTGTGACCTCATTGGCTGACTCTTGATAAATGATTGTGACCAGACGACAACAGGTAGCTGTGAATATTAATGGTTTTTTCAGTACTTTAAAAGCAAAACTGAGAATACACCAAAGCTCACTGTTTGACCCACATTCAGTGCTGTTGTTCTGGATCTAATTTTCTTTTTATACATGTTTAAAATGTCAAGAATGTATTTTTGATGCCATAGCTCCCTGAAAATTGATGGTTTACAATTTTATTTCTAAGCTGCAACAAGTGTTAAGATAATTTCATGATATGTTTATATAACAAAGGCACATACACAATTACAGCTCAAGTGACTATAAAACCTGTAGACCTAAAACGGTTCATTTGGTTTTACATTTGTAAAAAAAAAAAATTGTATCTATAATGCAAAATTAAATAAAGACTATTTCTATGCTGGACTTAATATTCTTGGTTGTTAATATCTGTGTTCATTTTGTTTTGCTCTTGTGTTTTTTTTGTTTTTTTATCCTACCATTGTGTTTGTAATTTCTGTCGCTGTGTCGTTGCTTTTATTTATCAAAAAACAGGATTTAGTTGGTACGATCATGAGAGACAATAGTTGGACTGTGATAGTGTGGTCCTGTCCCGATTCCTCCATCTGTTCATGTGTCCTGGCTACTTGGCTGGGGGGGTGTTCCTTTGGCTGGCATTCACCGGGAGTATGTGAGATCAAATCTTGCCCAGGGCTTCTGTTGTGTACCTTGGCACATGTGTTAATCCTCTCCTGCACCGAAGATGATGTTGAAAGCATCCTAGTTGGATTAAAGTGAAAGAGAAGGATGGTTTCTGAAGTTTCTTCTTTACTTTGTAAATCAGGATCTCAGCGTCTGGAAGATAAGACACACCAAATGTCCCTTGAGGTCCAGTGAAGGTCACAGTCAACCTACTAGGACATGTTAGGGCCCTTTATGAAGATGCTTATTCTCTTGTAGATGGATGATGCTAATTACAATCAGCAGTTCCAGTCTATATGCAGCCAACATGGTTTATATATAATACAAATGTCTGTTTATAGATCTTCCTCTGTTATGAAGGAAACCATAAAGGAAGTGGCGGCCTAGTGGTTAGGGCATCGCGCTTGAAATCCTGAGGTTCCGAGTGCAAACCCCACTCCCACAGACTGCCACTCTGGGTCCCTGAGCAAGACCCTTAACCCCCACACTACTTTATCTGAATACCAACAACAAAAAACATACAAACACTTTATAAAAACAAAACATAATTTAATTTACAGGTTTATTCTTTGTACGTAAATGTTGCCCTTCTGGGCCTTTGTGAAAGAATATCTGTGTTTGGCGTTGTCCAATATTGTGTCACAAACCTAAAAAATAACTTGCCAGCTTAATAATAAAGAAGCTATTAATCAGCTTTTTAATTTTTTTTTTATATGTAAAAATCATTTTCTGAGAATGTGTTTATCTAAGAGCAACTATGCAATTTAACAAACACCTAGAAAAAGTGCACTATATTATATTATTTTCCATGTGGATTCCAGACTGTTCATGCTTCTTTGCCTTTTCTAAAAACTGCTTTTAATCAGTCCTACCAGTCTATCAATGCAGACTGAGTTAGCCTTGCTGCAAAGAGTTAGCCTTGCTGCATGCAGTCAGCCAAGCCTTGTAGCTAAACCAGGTCCTGGAAAAAGACAGAGTGAACAGTCTCCATCTGTCTTTTGGACTGCTGTTGGGCTGATCAGGTCCAAATGGTTTCACCTCCAGCTTCTCTTGGTAGTTTGCTTCCCTTCCGCAACTTGGCCTGTCAATCACCCACGCACCAACTGTGACGATAGTTCGCATCACCTCAAGGTGTAGATTTGGTGCGCCCAGAAATCTATACTTCTGTATTGCAGAGGAGCTACTGTGCATGTACAACTTTTAACAAACGCAATGAGCAAACATTTTTCCAACGAAAAATCAAATTATGCGTTACTCATCATTGTTGCGATACATTGTCCCAACCGGAACTACTCCTCTGAAGACACGTACCCCTTTTGGCATAGGTTTTAAAAGAGCTAGCCTCCCATATTAGTGTCATTTTTTTCCCCCAGTGTTCTGCACCGCTACTGGCTAGACAAAAGCACTACCAGCTGAAGGCTACGCTACGTAGAAACCAAATCCCTCCGGAGAAGTCTTTTCTTGCTGGACCGAGTCACAGTGCCTTTTTCCTGCGATTGAGAAGGAGCTGAAAGTAGTGTTTTTATTCTTCCCTGCGATTCATAAGGAGCTGAATGCAATGTTTTTGTCCTTCCTGTGATTCAAACCGAGTGATCCTCTGCAGCAGATACAGAAAATAGCTAATGGAGCCATTAGAAGCCGCCAGATTGTGACCGCCTAAGACGGAGAAAGAGCAGCATTGCGGAAGTGCTGCGTTCTGGGAGTTATGAAATTAACCCCCCTGCAAATTGCCTCTTATTGTTGAATCGGATTGATCCAAATCTCTTTGAGTGAACGGACTGAACCGAAGACGGGCCTGCAGAAACCGGACCGAGCTGAAGGCCTTCTCTCCACGGACCAAAAACAGTAACTGCATCCTTCCCTTCCTTTCCATTTGATGATTAGAAAGTGCTCTGCTTGGGTGAACTATAGGTAGAGATAGATAGTCGTGTTGGTGTTTTTATTTGAAATAAGCTTTCTGATTCAACTGCTGATGGTTTAAAAGTTTTAATGAATGCTAATGCTCTCTACAGACTGAACGAGTCACGTGTTACTGAAGATAACTGCTAAAAACATGAGCTAACCCTCTCTTTGTTTCAGTTGGGACCGGCCAGAACCAGAACTCCTGGCTAAGCTAATGGGTCTTCCAGCCTCATCATAGTTTAATGCATTTCTGAGTCATTATTCTTTTTTCACCATAAACTAAATGAAACTTCATTGTTTTGACTGCAGTCAACATCACTGTGTCAGGATTTATTTACATTTTATCTGCTGCTTTTATAAAGGACACTTTTAAATGCATTAAGCCTTAAACTTTAAACATCACTCAGACTTTGAACTGACTATTAAAGCCCTCTTCCCCTTTTATTTCTTTAATTTAGATTATTTTTAGTAGTGTTTAGTGTTTTGCTTAGTTATTAGATAAAATTGTAGCTAATAAAGGTACCATTGTCTAACCTTTTAGGAAAGGGGCTAAAACCCTGGTCAGTAAGCAAATTACAGTTATAATCATTCAACTGATAATAACTAGATTTACCCTTGATTTGAATGGCTTATTAATTAACTAACTTCCAGTTCTAGATATTTAATATATTCATAACCTTCAGTTAAGCTGGCACATTATTAAAGATTAAATATTTATCTTGCACATCAAAAAATATATATCAATATACTTTTGAAATGATTTTTTTTAATAAATATGAATTATAAAATATAAATTTTATAATTACATTTTTATAAATTTTTTTAATGTCTTAATTGAGATCGATGGGCTGGTGGGGCGACGCCCTAGTGCCCTCCATTGGCCAACTGCCACTGTTAACACAGATTAATTCATGTATGTATTTATTTAACGGCTCGATATTCTTTGACCTTTATTGCAAACTGTCACTTGAAACTCAGGAAGCAGTAAACTTAAATGAAGACTGAACTTTGAGAGGTTAATTTCTTATAAATGGAGTTCCCTGCCTCAAACAGCTGACAAACCCTTTTTTTCAAGTAAAAAAAAACCACAGTTTCCTGTCACAGGAAGTGTAGGTTTTATTTCTTTTTCAACTAAGCAAGGAGGTGCTTGTCTGAAAAGTCTCCTGAAAAGCAGTGAGTAATATTTATCCTTTTTTTTTTTTTTACAAATTTAACATCTTCAGATAATACAACCTGCTTAATTTTTTTTAGTCTTGGGGGAAAGAAAAGTTTAAAATAGTTCTACTAAAACATTAAATTAAAAATTAAGATAGCCTGTTTTTTTGGGAGAAAGTTTTATCTAATTAATTTGGATTCAGATTCAGTAACATGTTGAGAGATATTGTAAAAAATGCATTTTAAACTAGAATTATGGTTTTATGCTCTTTTAATGTTCAAATAGTTTATACAGAGAAAAGGGTATGGGTATAAAATTAAAAAGTCTGTCTGCACATTTTGTACAACTAAAATACAAGACTTTGGTTACAAACTCTCTGTGCACTCTGTTTCCATATTCTCATCGGTGATTGACTTGCCATTTGGGCCTCATTTTCCAAAAAAGACTCAATGGATGGACACAGAACCAGGCAAATTTTTGTCTCTCACTCCTGTTCATTCACCTTTTGTAGAATCAAAATTAAGGACACGATCAAAGAAAGAAAAGGCATTTCAGACTGGTGTGCTGAATCCATTCAGGAAAAATTATGCTTATCAAAATGAGACTATATATATATATATATATATATATATATATATATATATATATATAGTAAAGAGAACTGGTCCTAGCACTGTGGTACTCCGTGGGTAACCCTGGAGCATGAGAAAGATTCGTCATTAACGTGAACAAACTGAAATCAATTAGATAGATTAGATTTAGAGCAGCCTATGCTGAGATTGAAGGCAATAGCTTCACTAGCACTGATCCCTGAGGCACCCCACAGGTAACCCTGGAGAATGAGGAAGATTTATCATTAATGTGAACAAACTGAAATCTGGGAGATGAGTAAGATTTAAATCAGCCTAGTTCCGTTCCTTTAATTCCTACAATATATTCAATTCTTTTTAAACAAATTTTATGATCAACTGTGTCCAATGCTGCACTAAAATAAATTATTTGAGGCCATGAGAATATCATTAGTAACTTTCACCAGAGCTGTTTCAGTGCTATGATGAGCTCTAAAGCCAGACTGAAACTCTTCTAAAAGTTCATTATGGTGGAAGTGGTCAAGTACTTGTTTGGCAACTTCTTTCTCAAGGATTTTAAATAAGAAGGGAAGATTGGATATAGGTCTATAATTGACCAAGTCATCTGAGCCAAGAGACGGTTTCTTAAGCAAAGGTTTAATTACAACAACCTTAAAAGCTTTAGGTACATATCCCTGTAACAGAGATAGATTAATCACATCTAAAATGGAGGAGGAGATCAAAGGGAATAACTTCTTAAATAACCTGGTGAGAACTGGATCTAACAAACAAGTTGAAGGCTTAGATGAAGACAATAGTTTTGCTAACTCTGAAAGTTCAACTGGATCAAAGCGGTCTAAACCCGGTTCAGATTCTATGGCTACCTCAGATGCTGCCTCACCTGCCAGAAATAAACCAACCATAGTTAGAGTGCTAACTATTGTTGGCATCCCACCTACTAAGAGCAGGTGGGATCGGTGGTTCTACAGAGCTATGGCTCTGGGTGAGTTTGGTATTAAAAAGATATCTAGGATTATTCTTATTCTGCTCTATTAACGAGGAGAAATATGCAGCTCTTGCTTTACAAAGGGTCATCAAACAAAATATTTATTTAAAAACCTAAATATTTAATTTGAAAACTAAATATTTAATTTGGAGCTAAATATTTAAGAAAGTATTTAGTTTGGAAAACAAATACTTAGCTTGCCAACAAGATTTTAACTGACAATCTAAATATTTAATTTGGATCCTCAATTTTTATAAATGTATGAAAAGCATAGTAAAAAACTGACTCTTAAAGCACTCTAAATAACCAAAAATATTGCTCTTAATTTTTGACTGCTTAACAAATTGCACCCCATACCCATATTCCAAATAAACTTTTACACATATTACAAAATATATAACTTCCATCTAAGATTAGACAAACCTTGCCGCCTTCCGTTTATTTTTCTTGTCATGACCTGTAATGAGACTGGAGCAGTTGCAACACTTTTTCCATTTGACTGTTACTCAGAGATGGTTGGATAACATTAACTGCATTTTTATATATTCAGCATATAGTTACACATATGCATTTGATGACTATCTTGAAAACAGCAGAACAAGCTGCATAAACTAAGCTTTATGATTTGATCTAAAGCACTGATGCCATTGCTAAGTTATTTATTTCTATGGTTTATTTTTATTAATGCTGGCTTTTCCCTCAGTAATTAAACCCACTGATATTGAATTGCTTTTGTTTTCTTCAGATCTTGATTCACTTGGATTTCCTCAAATCAAAGGACAAAATCAGAAAATGATGTTTCAACAGATGTGGCATTTCCTGCCCATTACTGCTCTTCTCTTCTCTCTGTCTGACCGCACATTTGCTGAGGTGGTGCAGTCCATTTCGGACTGTGACCACTATCTTATCAACCACACTCCGCCACATGTTCCAGGCATCTTGGAGAATGGCAGGATCCTAAATCAGAACCGATACAAAATAATCTGCCAGACCTACAGAAACAGGAGGAGATTTGTGACGCTCTACGATGTACAAAACAAGATTCCAGTGTTTTCTGCTTTCAGATTTGTTGATCAAGTTGACAGGAAGAGGCCAAAAACCTATTGGAAGATAGAACCACAGGTAGGGTTTATATCTGGAATGAATGTCGGCACTTTATCATTATCCAACCAGTTGTTTTAATCTATAATGTCCAGTTTTCTTTCAAAGAAACTTCTCTCCTCTCTTCACAGCTGGAGAATGAATCTACCAACAAGAATATGATGCGGGAAAACAAGATGAAGAACTACACCTACCAGGCTAGCAACAAAGACTATAAAGCCAACAACACATTTGATAGAGGTCATATATTTCCCAGCTCTTATGCCTCATCCAAAGAGGACAAAGAGTCAACTTTCACCCTGACAAACATCGTTCCTCAAGCAGAGTCCTTCAACAAGGGCAGCTGGAACAAAATGGAGATGTGCACCAAATGTGTCATGGAGAAGTACTGCATCAACAGCAGTGGTGGTACTGAGGGGTTTGTGGTGACTGGAGCTCAACCCAGTTTAAACAGCATGCTTAACAGAGTCAACGTTCCCTCTGCGCTTTGGTCGGCATTCTGCTGCTACAGTGCGGTCAGGGGGGCGTGGATAGCCAGCGGGCACTGGGGCAACAACGTTCAAGATGAGTCCAAACATAAATATCTTGAGACCATGACCCTGGAAAACCTTCAGCACATTCTGGGGATGTCTAACTCTGAGTTTGTAATGTTTCCTGGAACAAAATGTCCTCTGACCACCACCGTTACTGAGTTTTACCCAGAACTGAAAAACTGCCCCTGTCCGCCAACAGTATCTGGATCCATCACATCACCACCCTCTCATTTTGCTTTTATTTTCCCATTATTCGTGTACTCATATCTTCACTGGGTGTCTTGCTAATAAGGAAAAAGGAACACCTTTTTTTGCAGAAAGTAATAGATTTGTTGAATTTAAGCAGACTATATCATTAGAGCCACTAAGATCAACATGCCGGATGAAGGGGGCTGATTTTATTCCACGGACACATCCGGTACCTTTAAAACTCATTAAGCAAGCTTGCTTCATCAGAATCAGAAATACTTTAATAATCCCAGAGGGAAATTACTTTCATAGAGTAATGTTCAATGTTTTTCCAGTCCAGACAAACATTTCTACATCTAACTATACAGTAGTCTGGCATTGTAGATAATGATGAACCTAAGAGCCATTATATTAAGGAAACGTGTGACGCAAAATGTCCATGCTTAGTTTAGACTTAAACAAAAAACACTGCTTAGTAACATGAAGGACCTAACAATTTTTTTTTATTTTTTATTTTCACAGCTGCATGTCTATGAAGTGATAGAAATATAAGATTAAATGCAACAGGAATGACCAACTGTGACTCAGCATAATGTATTTTTGGTCTTTCTGTAAATAAATAAAAAAAAAACTTCTGCAAATGAGCTTTTCTATACTGAACAAAAAAAAAAAAAAAAAAGTCAGAAAAAACACACATAGAAACTCTTCCCATTAAAGGATTTTAATTGAGTTATTGATGGCATGGGTTTCAAAATTTCTCAACATACAACAATTTTATTTCCTGTAATTAATGGTTGAGAAAAGCTGATTGTAACAAATACATTCAATATACTGAAGATAAAAACATGCAATCTCTCAAAAATCCCTGAGAGATTGCTTCTGGAAACAAAGAAGAAACATAAAGAAGCTGTTTCAACCCAAGATTTTTTTTTTATATGACTAAAATAGAACTTGTACAATGAAAAGGGAAGAGAAAGTGTTTTCTCCATCGCAAGTGGAAAGGAAAACGAAATCATTGAATACTTATTAGCAGAGGTAGTTATGCGTCATCTTAATACATATAAAAACAAAACACTGAAAAACAGTGGAAGAAAGTGTGTCATTTGAAAAGAATATAATGCGTTTAAGAAAAGGTGTATTAACACTTAGAGGTAGTAAAATGTGAGTTTGGGTTCATATAAAAAAAAAAAATAAGGAAACAAATACTGTCATATGCTGCTTTACACTGCAGCACTTTGAAAATGGTGATAAAAAAACAAAGATATTAAAATAAAAACATTTTAATTTAGTTTCAATTAGTCTAAGTAATAGAAAAAAAAAACTACTTTTAAGATAAATGCAACGTAACATTTATACTATTCTACTAAAGGAAAGAAGTTTACATTTATAAACAAAAATCAATTAAAGTTTCTAGAATCCTAAAACATGCCAACTGTACGGACACAAAAATAGACAAACCAACACTTAACAGACTGATACCTGATGTCAGAGTTGGGTTTTAATATTTTCCGTTTTAAATCTTCCAACACATCCGGATCAGTGGCCTGAAAACTAAAACCATTGCTCCTTGAACCTACATTTCTCCGTTCATCTCACAAAAGTTCTGCCAATATTTAATGACCAGTGTTCCCTAAAACCAGGAGAAATATAACAGAGCGCACCTTTGTTCATCAGGAGATTCCATCCCTAAATACTTTATTTTGTATGATTATTAAGATTCTAAAGAAAAACAAAAACCTTGATTAAAATGTAATTAATAACACTGAACAAAGACATTATTGCTTAACTCCTTTTCAAAATGAAAGACCCTCAATAGAAGGACAAACATAGTGTAAGTCAAACTAATACTGCATTTCTATCTTTAATTCACTGTGTATGTTTTGACCCACTAGCGCTTTACTTTTGTGGCCTAAATCTGGCAGTTTTGAGTAAATCTCCCCGAGTGTTGCCTTCAATTTAGTGTAACATGACAGATTAGATTGAAGGCTTTTTAATGAAGCATTTTACTAGTAAAATATGAGACACTTTCTGTCAAACTAACAGATTTAAGGTCAAAACAGCAAGAGAAAAATAAAGATATTTGGAGTTCCACAAGGCTCAGTTATCGGTCCTTTAGGATTTACCTGCTACTCGTTTAAAAAAATACTGTCAAAAAGAGGATTATTTCTTATAGACTATACAAAAAATACATGTTCTCACAATTTGATGTAAAATCTGATGATCGTATTCATGTTTTGACAACTTTAATAATAGTTACTGCATCTCCAAAAACATTTGTAACTATTTCATATATTTCAAACCATTGATGCAGATTGCACCATATATTGCAATGTAATCAAATAAGATTATTCAATACTTAAGCTAATCTTTAGGCATGTATACATAAAAGTAGTTGGAAAAAGAAAAATGTGAAAAGGATTTAAGCTATGTTTGAAAATGTAATTTAATCAGGAATACTAAAATTAGAACTCAAATGCCCCACAGGTAAAGGGTCATTAAAAATTTAATTAAATAATCAACGGGTCTGGGTAGGAGAAGCAAAAAGGACTTAACGATGGTCTGAGTAAATTATGGAAAGGTTTCAATGGTAATGCAGAGCTATATCGTCACAATTTGTATGGGAAATACTCATGTTATTACAACTGATTACTCTGATTTATACAGCAAATACTTTTATTAGCTTATTTACTGCTTTTATACATTTTAGAAACCTGAACTATTACTTCAAATGCAAATGAATATTTCACCTGCACCTTTGATATGATTTATCCAGCAACTCCTACAGGTCTCGTCTAATTGAGGTTGATGAACTCGGCAGTGTCTCCATCAGAATAAAAAAGGAGTCCAGCATATAGAGGCTGAGTGAATGTGGTCTGGACTCTATGGAGGAGAGTCATGGTTTCAGAGACGCTGTAGAAAGACAGAATACCTGCTCTGTGATCCAGATACACGCCAACTCTCAAGAAGCACGGACCTGAAAGCGGAGTTTTCACATTGTTGTGCCAAAATGTGTAGCTGTTCCGATCGCAACACAACGCCCAAGATTTGTCATTGCATCCCAACAAGCATTCATTTAAGCGGCCCGCTCTTTTGATGTTTTTATATGCGACTGCAACGCGAACTCCCCCACGTTTGGCTTCCAACTCCCAGTAACAACGTCCGGTCAGACTCTCTCTGGTCAACACCTGATGCCAGGCGGTGAACCTGTCTGGGTGACTGGGATAGTGCTGTTCTTCCTTCATGTACGTTGCTTTGGTTTTTTCCTCAGACAGCAGAAGATGAGAATGTGCCGTGTTTGGATCCAGGGTGATTTCTTTAGAATACTTTAAGAATCCATCTCTTGTCTTGGGTTCAGGTTGGGGCAGTAAAACATCGACTTCAGCGACTCTCTGCGAGATATTGGTCCAGGTGTCTCTGATGAGGTCTTCAAGTTTCTCTCTGAGCTCTGACACAGCTGCTGTCACATCCTCAAAGTATCTCAGAGGACGAATATTGATGCTGGATGAGTGTGTAGACTCACTGAGTGCTGAAAGTGGGGGGTAGTTGTGGAGAAACTGGTTGTGATCCTCTGTGTTTGAGAGCTTCTCCAGCTCAGCATCTTTCCTCTTCAGCTCAGTGATCTCCTGCTCCAGCTTCTTCTGAAGCTCTTTGACTCGACTCACTTCGGTTTCCTGCTGGGATCTGATCTGCTGCTTCACATCAGAGCTTCTTTTTTTAACGAGATGAATCAAATGAGAAAAAATCTTCTCATTGTCCTCCACTGCTTTATCAGCATAGATATTGATGGCCTCCACCTCCTTTTGAAGAAGCTCCACATCTTTCTCCTGGTCCTGGATTCTCTGCTGGATTAGTTGTCGACTTTCCTCCAGCTCCTTCTGCTTCTCGGCTCTTTCCGCAGCAAGTGAGACCGTTTCATGATCTTTATGTTCATCCATCAAGCAGAGATAACAGATTAGCTGCTCGTCTGTACGGCAGAAGATCTTCATCACCTCATCGTGAAGAGAGCAGATGCTGTCTTGAAGGTCTCTGCGAGGATCGACCAGCTTGTGCTTTTCAAATGCAGAAGACTCGTAATGTAGCTGAATGTGTTTCTCACAGTAAGACGCCAAGCAGACCAAACAGGACTGGACAGCTTTCAGCTTGATTCCAGTGCAGACGTCACAGGCCACGTCTTCGGGTCCAGCAGAGCCGTGATCAGAATGGCTTCGTTTGAGGCCATCCTTCTGCAGCTTCTCTACCAACTCTGATAACGTGATGTTTTTTTTCAAGGCAGGTCTGCCGCTGAAGGTCTGCCCACACTGGGGGCAGCTGTGGGTCCCCTCCTGGTCTTCTCTGTCCCAGTGATCTTTAATGCAGTTCATACAGTGGCTGTGCCCACAGGGGATTGTCACTGGATCGCTCAGAAGATCCAAACAGATGGGACACGCGATGGAGTCTTGGTTCAGCTCGTCTTCTCTCTGCTCCATGTTTGCTTCTGTCTTGTTAGTGATCAACAAGTTTTACTTTGTGTTATTTTTAAAGCAGAGGCTTTTATTGCTGCCACCTTCTCTAGTCTGGTAAAGTTCGTAGTTAAAGTTCCAAACTGAAAGACACAAAATAGGGAGATGTGGGTTATTCCTTGATCTGCACTACAACTTACCTGTTTGACAATCTTTCTGGTGACTCAATGAACAAGCCTGAACTAATGGCTTCGTAGTAAAGAACGTATAGGTGTGATAGTACCATGTGGGCATTACTAGTTTACCTGGTAATAGTTATGCAATCACTGTGATACAAACACCAATTTTGGAGTGTACCATTTTGATGACATCAACAGAGATAATAAAAATATTTACTTCTTTGCACTGTTTTAGTTGACTGTATGGTCGGGATGGCAACAAAATGTAATTGTAGTCCCACAATATCAAACTGCTCTTGGAAAACAAA